TTTTTTAAATCATTTTGGTTAGTACATATCTTCAAAGCTCTGTTTACATAACTATAAAACGCAGACATTTTTTGTGGCCTAGTATGACATGATTCTTGGTGTGGGGGCACAAGAACAGAAAAAGGTTTCCAGTAAACTGGTGTTTCTAAATTACCTTGTACATTCCTTTTCACCAATACATCTAGAAAAGGCAAACTGTTATTTTTCTCAATTTCAAACATAAATTGTATGGATGGTTCAATGCTGTTCAAATAGTAAGCAAACTCTGTTAATGCCTTATTACCATACTTCCACACCAAGAATGTATCATCTACATACCTTATCCAAATATCAGGATTACATTTTGCATTATTTATGGCTTTAGTTTCAAACATCCATATGTAAATCACATAATAATAGTGAGAGTGGTGATCCCATAGCTAACCCTTTATTTTGTTTATAGAAATTATTGTTAACTTGAAAACAATGGATTCGTAACACAAACCTTAGTTAAATTAACTATATCTATAGTTTCAACTGCTGAAATTTTGTTTTCTAACAATTTGGTTTCAAAACATTTAATTGCATCTTCTACTGGAACTAACTATCTAATGACACTAACAAAACTTCTTTATTTAAGTTTACATTTTTTATTTTCCCTGCAAATTCTAAATCATTTTTAAGTGTTTTTGAGAAATAAAAATAAAATGAATATTATTTATGATTTCAGTGTACGATACATTAAATTCAAAGCATTTGTTTCTAAAAACATAATTACAAATAGTTTGTTTGTGTTGAATTTCGCGCAAAGCTACACGAGAGCTATCTGCGCTAGCCGTCCCTAATTTATCAGTGTAAGACTACAGGGAAGACAACTAGTTATCACCACCCACCACCAACTCTTGGGCTACTCCTTTACCCACGAATAGTGGGATTGACCGTCACATTATAACGCCCCTACGGCTGAAAGGGCGAGCATGTTTGGTGGGACGGGGATTCGAACCAGCGACCTGCAAATTGCGAGTCGAGCGCCTTAACCACCTGACCATGCCGGGCCATAATTACATATAGATCATAACAAAAGCTGAACAGTGTATGATACATTAAGTTCAGAGCATTTATTTCTAAAAACATAATTACAAGTCGTCAGAAGTACTGAATGTATAAATATGTATTGCTTTCCTAAAAATACTAATATAATATTATTTACTCTGCATTATTTCTGACTATCTGGCAAAATCTATTTTTAACTTTCTGTTCATTGTGCATTATTTGGTTAGTTAAAGAACTACTTTATAATTTTTCTTTTTTGCATGTGCTCACTTATGATAAATAGTTTGTTCAACAGTAAATATTAAATCTTTTACTGTATTAGGAAAAGAAAGGATTTCTAATTTATTGATAGAACGAATTTAGATATTTTTAGTTGTAATCAAACGACGGAATCATTGTCTTATTCAATTTTTGGAATGTTCTCATACTGACTCAATGTTTAGTATGAAGTTTCCCGCCATGCCTTACTTG